GTTTGGCATCTGCCTAAATGAGCAAATGTGGCCTCTCTTGAATGATGCAGTAGCTAAAAAATCCTGCGGCCGAGCTGCTGCTTTTGTCCTTGTTGAAGACAGCGTTTGAAGTCACCTACTGCTGCCAAGGGATCTCTAGCTATGTTACATACTCATAAAGCTTTATACACGTATCTTTATCTGGATTTATTCCTCATCATGGGGAGTTTTTTTCTTCATTAATCATTATGTGCCAGCATTAGCATTTCCAAAGGGACATGCACTTTCTGCTCTTTGGCCCGTTCTGGATGCTGTCACTGAATTAGAACTCTTAATTTGGGGGTTGGACTAGATGACCTCTAGAGGTCTCTTCCAACCTTAAGGGTTCTATGATTCTGATTTGGAGTTTACTGACCATTTTTTTCTTTTGTTTGTGGTAGGTCGTTCAGGAGAATGAGAACGTTGTCTTCTGCTTGGAGTGTGCCCTGCGGCATGTGGAGAAACAGAAGTCTTGTCGGGGCCTGAAGATGATGTATCGCTACGATGAGGTCTGTGCCACGCGGCGGAGGCAGCTCGGGCAGCGCCAGCGCGGGGCCTCGGGAGGCAGCTTGCTCTCTCTGCTCCTTTCTTCTTTCTTTTCCGTGTGGGAAGAAGGTCTCTAATATGATATTTTAAACATGGGGAGGGAAGCAGGATGGCAAAGGTGACACCCAAAGAATAAAGTGTGTGATCAGGTGTTAGGAAAGGGGGAAGCCCTTGAGCGCCGTGGGACGCTGCACGTCATTAAGGTGGGCTTCGGTGGCTTGGTCGGGGTAGCAGCACCCTGACACCCCGCAGAGCGGCCCAAGGCTCCTCCGGGCACTCCTGTGCAGCGGTACAGGAGTGCGGTCCAGCAGCGACTCGGGGCTGCAGTGCCCTCAAGTGATGCCCTCTGTGTGTCTAGCTGCTCCTGGCCTGTGGAAAACCATCGTGGGATGCAACAGAGAGAGATGGGGAGAAGGGAAGAGGGAGTCTTTTACTGTTCGCCCAGCTGTGGCTAGTGAAGCAGTGACAGAATTTACACAGGCAGCTCTTCACGATCAGTACTCGATGATACTGCCGGTACGGGATGATACTGGTCACAGTTGGAGGCAGGTGTCTCGCAGCTCCCAAAGCAGCGGCGCAGAGCCAGGGCAAGACAGAAAGGTCACACTGAGCCCGGGCAAGGTCTTGCTACTCTGATTTCTGTTTTCAGTTGCAGACTCTGTGCTGTAGGTTGCAACCAGGCAGAGGCTAGGGAGGCCAGACACATAAGATGGACTTTGTAATGTGATAAAGAAGAGTTTAGGAGATTTCATCTCAGAAATACCAATGTTTCTGCTGTGCTTGAGATGATTCAGCTCCTAATTCCTGTGCTCACTCAGAACTGCTAATTCTGCTGAGCTTTTCAAACTCTTTTCATTAGAATCACATGCAGTAGTTACTTTCTGCTAGCACCAAGTGGATGAATTAGGCAGATTTGAGAAAGTCAAAAAACCCCTCTCCTTTCATTCCTGGATTTTTTCTTTTTAATGCCTGAAAAAGCTGGCATTAAGTTTCTACCTCTGAAAGAAGCTAAATGGGTGCCTGCATGTCAAAGGCCGCCTATTAGATGTATTTAACTGCTGGATATATTTCATTAAAAGATTGTTTCAATGTTGCACAAAAATAACTTGTGAAAATTCTTAACAGGTTAGTACAGCCAGTTCAAAGAAAATTTTGGCACACCGCAGACCTTAATGCGGTGAAATGCAGCAACGCAGCCGTGCGGCCCGTGCGGCCCGAGGCCTCTCGGCCCTCGCTCCTCACAGGGCCCTGGCCTGAAGGCCTCGCTGTGCCCCAGGGCCGAGCACCTGGACCCACAGAGATCCTAGCGAGATCCTGAAAGGCAGCGACCCAACAGCCCCCGACAGCACTCCCCCCAGGAAAAGGCAGCATCTTCCCGCTAAATTTGAGAGCTCTTTAGACTAATTCTGCAGCTGAATCCTGTCTGTTGAGCTGCAAGTGGGGAAACTTGAGCACACGAGTTACTCTGTAGAACACCTCGTACCAGTTACCAAAAGCTTGGCCCTGAAATAGGGGTACTTGACAAATAAGTAGAGTTTCTTGCCCTTTCTCGCCACTTGCAGTCCATGGGGCAGCACGTGTACGTCTCTCTGCACCAGAAGGGACCGGAAAAGAAAGATGCTGATTTGTGTTTTGGTTTTTTTTTTTTTCTTCCCCTCTCATTTCTTGAACAGGAACAAATCATCAGTCTAGTCAATCAGATCTGTGGAAAAGTATCTGGTAAAAACGGCAGCATTGAGAACTGTATCAGCAAGCCCACACCAAAAAGAGGACCTCGCAAGAGAGCGACAGTCGACGTGCCATCATCTAGGCTTTCATCCTGCAGTTCATCCAAAAGTGCTTCAAGTTAATCCTGAAGATGCCAACACTCTCATTTTGTCGATTTATATATATTTTTTGTAATTATTATACCATAGTTCGGAGTACTTGCTGTAGAATACAAGCTGTCTTTGCACTAGCTCTGAAGAAGATTTTTTTCTTCTGGTTTTAGAGAACTAAATTTTGTTTTAGCATTAAACTGTTGAATTTTTTTTTTTTTTTGTACTTTAGGATAGATAGATACAGCAGTCAGATTTTTTTAAACTGCCGTATGTTCACTGTTTTACAAATGGCAGGGGGCTGATAAAATATTAATTTGTATTGTCCCTATGGCTGAAAAAAAATAAAAATAAAAAGCCTTTTTGGTAACTGTGAAAAAAAAAAGGCTTTTAACCCATTTTTGAATAGGTTAAAGTTTGATGTGTTTTATAATTTGTTCTCCAGTCATGTGAGCAGATTTTTCTAGAGAGAAAAGGGATAGGAGACAAAACTTGAAAGAAATTGCTTTACTTTGGCTGTCTTTTATTCTGTCACGACAAGATGAGTTTTGTAATTTTTTAAATTGGAGACTACACACTTTCTTTGGGAGGTTATGGCAGCTGAAGCTGGACTTTGTTTCCTAACTGTAGGCAAAAGGAGGAGATTTGGAGTATGTTCTCTTTTACCAGCACATCACTATGCATCTGTTTTGAGGGGGAAAAAATAAAAAAGAAAAAATAAAAAAAAAAAAAAAAGAGAGAAGGAAAAAGACTGCCTGCCTTGAGGAGTCACGTGAGGGAAAACTGTGCCTGATTTCATTAGGAAATCCATTCTGTTTTTTTTGGTGCTGTTGGCTACTTTATCAAAAACCCTTCAATAGCATCCTTTAAAAAAAAAAAAAGAAAAAAGAAAAAAAAAAGTGATTGAAGCCATAAGTGCTTCTTTGTCATAGACGTGCAATCTTTCTAACATTCCATTTCCATTCCACTGCTGTTTTTCCACACCTTACACCGTCGAGCATTAATTTTTGTTTGGGAATTTGTTCCATTATCCGATCACTTTTTAGAGCCACTAGCAGGTCTGCATTTTTTTTTTTTTCTTTTGAATGTGAAAATGCGTTTGCTTTCATCTTGTCTATTTTTCTCTTCATGTTGTAACAAAAAAAAAAAAAAGAAAAAAAATCACACCTTTTGTACATATGCCTGTAAATTTTTTTAAATACTTGAGCCTTTTCTTGGGGTGGGGGGAGGGACGGCGAGGAGACAAGATGAAGAAAAGCCTTACGTTTCACTTTCTTCATCGGATGGATTGGATGCTTACAGGGTTTTTCTTGTAACATTTATAAGTGCTGCTTACATCACTGAACAACAACGAAAAATAATAATGGAGTAGCTGTTGCCCTTTTCTGGTTGTGTGTACAGTATGTGTGGAATAAAAAAGGGAAGATGTTTTCACAAACTGTTTTGTTTCGTAATTGAATTCAACAATACCGTAGCTACCCATATTGCACTGAGCTTGCCAGTGGTGACTGTCAGGAAAGTCCTATAATACAATTTGTTGGTTGTTGTTGCAGAAGACTGAACTGTTTTGGAATATTTAACAATAACATAAACAGAGTCAAGTGTTTTCAAATGTGGTTGTCTGGTTTTTATGGCCTTGCTGTGTACTTTTCCCTCTTGACAGTAAACTTCTGACTATGGCTTACAGTTTGACATTTAATTTATTAGCGCTGCTCTGCTCTCTTTCCTTGTAAGGAAAGACTTCATGTTGTTTATTGCCAGTTTTTTGTTTACTTTCCAGGTTTGTACTACAAGGTTTAATAAAAAAACAAAACTTTTTTGGACATTTTGTCTGTCTTCTGGAAAGCGAGGGAGTAAAGGAAACTCTTTCAGGAAAGAAAGGCATCTTTCCACACCTCAACTCTTAAATAGTAGATGCCTCGCTGCAGGTAGGCTCCTAGCTGGCGTTTCCCAGGGTGAGCAGTGTATCCCTAAGGGAAGTGGCCGCTTCCCACCTGGCTGACAGTGGGAGAAACCTCATTCCCACCCATAAGTGGTGCCGGGGCTCCTCGCTGGATGGGCTCTACTCCCAACTCATCCTTTTACTCACGCTCTTTCCGATCGCATCCCTCTCCTCGGCGCATGACGAGCGGGAGCCCGAAGCCTTCTGGAGGTGGAGCAGCTCCCTGCAGACAGAGGGCGAGACTCGACAAGAAACAGCTGTTAGGTTCAGACCTCTGTGTTCCAGAAGCAACAAGGTGGCTACAGACCAGAAACGCCGCGGGAGGCAAGGCGAGGCGAGGCCCGGGAGCTCCAACCTCTGTAAAATGTGTGCGCTTAATTCCTGCGGTACTCTGGTTTATTTCCCTAAGTTGCTGTCTTACCATCAGCGCCATCAAAACCAAGTTACTGTGGAAGAAGTTAATTACAGTGGTGCTCAAAATAAGTCAGCAGTTTTTCTAATCGCTGAATTCATCTCCTCTGTTCACTATCATGCAGAAAGTATTTGGATAATCAAGTAGAAGACGTGGTTGGGATAGAAATACTTTATTTCATCTCAAGAGAGGAGTACGTTTATACAGTGCTAAGATACCTGCTCCTTGAGGAGCACAACACTTCCATATGTATTTCTCCTCTTCCTTTTTTTTTTTTTTTTTAAGATTTTTCCTTAACACCTACAATAACTAAGTTGGTCCTGAATGAGAAGTGCAAGAGAGTGGCCACTGCTGCATTTAGAGACAAAGGTAGGAGGCAGACAGTCAAGAGTAGAAAAGAACTTTTCACTTTGGTTGGAGCCTAAATCTTCAATTGCAGCTGTTGAAAACATGCAAGGAACAATTTGGGTTCAGTACTACACATCAACGCTAAGTATTTCCAATCGATTGTTTAAACATTAGTGGTCAAAGAGACTTATCTTCCCCCTTTAGTTCTTTTATACATAGTATATACAAAAGTTGTACTACTCCCCTGAGCCCCGAGACTACTGTTAAAGTGTGTGTGCTTTAGGCAATTTTTTTTTAAAAGCCAACCTCTGCACGACTGGCAATCTGGTAAAAATCTTGTATTACTAGTAAAAAGATGTGGCTGTCTCGCTTGATTAGCAAACTCTTACACAGGCAAGCTCTTCATTCATTGTGCACTCATTCCAAAGTCATTCTGAAAGGATATGGTGGCCAGACTCAGAGAGCCTGAGAGTCACTTTCATCGCTGCCGTCCGAAGCGCCCTTTCCCTCGGTCGCTACGGCGGCGAGAGCAGTGTCCACTTGAACCTCCTCTTCATCAGACTGAACGACCGGGGACTCCCCTTCGCTGGCGTCCTGGCTGGCAGAATCAGTGCAGGTGGAGGACAGGGAAGAGAGTTTCTGGCGCAGTTCCGACTGGCTTGGAACCTGCAGACTTATCTCGCTCACGTAGCTGTTGGAGTCTGGCCCTTGGAGTGGGGAAACAAAGATGAAAAAGAACAATCAAGCCGCAGCTCTGCAAATGAATTGGTAAAAGTGAGCGCTGAGGTGGTTTATGAAGTGCATTCAGGCTGCTTTGCTGCTTTTGCAAATACCCAGAAAAGGAAACACAAAGTTGCCTGTTGGCTTCTCACAAGCTCGTTCAGGCCACGAGGTTGCTTTAGTCTGATTCTCTCTCATTCCAGTATTTCTAATACTTGAGATCAAATAGGCTAAGATCGCACAAATATGGTGTCTAGTTTGCCTGTTAGCCAAAACCACTTCCCCTCCTAACTCCTGGCTTTTGATTAAAGTCTGTTCAGCACAGGCTGAGCGTCGTCACCAAGAGAGCAATCTTCAGACAAGCTTTGTGCAGCAGAAGGACGTGAATTCAAAGTTAAAAAATTAACTGGAAAATAGGCAGTATTGATAATCTCCAGTCTTGACTGTGAATGAAGTGCTGAGTGGCGCTGAAGCTCTTCATGATAACTTACAGACTGTAGTGCAGAGCCGCCAAACCAATGCCCACAAGCCAGCAAAATTTCTAGTAAGATAAATATGAGCTTATTTTTGTTTTTACCAGTTAATTTACTTACCTGCACTGCCTGGTTCAACATCTGCACTGCCTGGTTCAACATCTGCCAGAAACCCAAAATGGGTGAAACAGTCCTCGATTTCATAATAATTTGCGCACCATGATATCTTGAACAGCCAAGGAGGAAGTGAATTTAGTTTTTGCAATAAAAACTCATATGCATTGGCTCTTTTTCATGTTCCCCACAGGTACCAATCAGCTTTACATAGGGCACAAGAAAATTACTCCGCAATATTCTTCATTTTTCATTCATATATTCAAAAATCAAGGATAGAATTTGAGGTGTCTCTTTACAACCCATTAGTTTAGCTGTTTGGGGAAAAGGTATTTTAGTACTAAAATAAGTTTTAAATTTAAAAAAGAACATTTCCCTGGTGCCTAGAGTATCCAAGATTACTAACTGGCTGCCATGAGCAGATCCTTATCGTGCTGCAGCTTGCCAAGTTCTAAATCTGATTTTGTTCATCACAACACATGAAACAAACTTTGCATTAAGATTAATTTAATCCAAGTTACCTAACGTGACAGTAAGAAAGCTACAAAAGAGCTGCAGTATCAGAATCTCTTTTTTTAACTTTCCAGAATGTTTCCAGACATTGGGTATGGACTGCTGTGCTCAATGAGGTTTCTGAACATCTGATTGAAGATCTTTAATTATGTAAGTGGCCCAGGTGTACATAAAAATGCCAAATCCAAGGCAAAGTCTAAGAAAGCTTTCTTAAAACTACCCTACTAAGACTTCTGGTTGATGTTTGGTTCATTAAGGCATCCCATATCAACTTTATATCAAAGAGCTGGAGAAGCAGAGTCTTCTGTTACACCAGAAAGCAAAATATATATAACCCATTGCCTCTCCACACAGTGACAAAAATGGCATGTGTCTGTGACAAAAATGGCACGAGTCTGTGGCGGTTATAGGAAAAAACACATGGCCATAAAAAATAGCAAGCAGCTTTGCAGCAAGCTCTTCAGTACTGCAACTAAAGGTTAACCTTTTGAAAGCAGACAGTGAAAAATATTGCATTTATGTAAAGTATAATGGTTTGTGAGATCAGCGTCCCCTCTGCCAATGAAAGCCATTCTGGTTGTCCATTGCTCACTGTGTCTGTAAGCACACTGTCATTGCTAGAGCCATACCCAGCATGGGAGAGAGCATGGTGTTGTCCTCGCCTCCCGAGTTTAAGAAGACGTCAAGTGCTTCCTGGTCAGACATGTCCATTAGGTCCATCTGCTCCAGCATGTCCACGTTCACTTCCATGGAAGACATACTCCCAATGGGTTCTGCAGGGGAAACAGCGTGGTGAGCCCCCTGACAACCAGCTACACGGTGCTATTACCTAGGGAAGCTTTCACAGCTACTATAGTTGTGTTTGTTAGTCAGAATTAAACAACGAGCTTTGGCAGGAAGACGCTCGCATCAGACAACTGCTTAGCTGCAACCTCAGCCCCACGCTGAGTCCTCTGCGCAAGCTTTTGTTCTGCAAAATTAATGACCATTGACCATCACTGCTCTTGTAAAAGAAGGCATTTTGAGCAATGACATTCATACTGCAGTATCATTGGAAACATGCTAAGACTCAACCGAAAGTCTTTTTAACAGAGAAGAAACTTAAGCACTCACTAAATGTACAAGGGTCATGAATATTCACAAAATAAGCATTAATGTTAACGGAGCAGCCATTTGCTGTTCAGTCTGTCTAATACATGGCATTAGGATGCAAAGCCTAGGCTGATGTCCAGTATCTTCTCCCAGCATAGGGATTTCACATCATGAAATAATTACTACTTATGATTTTTAGTTTAATACCAATAGTTTACAGGGGCATTAAATACTTGGAAGAGTATCTTCTTCCTTGAACAAATACACACACACACACACACACACACACACACACAGAGGAGGTACTCAAGTATTCAGATTTAAGTCTGGTTGCTAAGATTGTAATATCAAATGTTACAATTAAGTTTGCATAAATTTAACAATCGCACTACTAAGAGCCTTCATATGTGAACTGAGGTGAAACCTTATGATTTTACTTTTTTTCCCCCCTCCCCTCCTCCTAAGCATATTGCAGCTGTAGCTCTTAAACACACAGGAGGCTCAAGTTTTTCTTAAAACATAAGAAAGGACTGTGCAGCTTCTGCACCATTCTTCTAAATTTAGAAAACGATGTACCCATCTCTCTCACACAGCAACGTGCGAAGTGGCAGCAGTGACACTGCCCACTTCAAGTGCAAGCTGACAGTATATACAGAAAGTGAGACTCAAATTCAGCTCCTGCCTCAGAGCAAGGGAATTCACAACTTCTTTCTTAGGCTGCTTCCCATACGATTGTCCTAAGAACAAAGCTAGAGCATCTTGCAGATTCGCAGCGATAGCACTGACGCAGAGAAATAAGGATCTTAGATTCCCTGCTTCAACATTTCAAACGCAGCAGAACTGGTCTTGGAGCACGGGCAGGTTCCCCACAATTCTCCCGCCCACGTGTGGGTGACATTACCTCCTGTGCGCTTGCTTTCTGGTCCTACAATCCCTTCTTTTGGGCCCAGCAGATGGGATACCTCCCACACAGACGTGTCTACAGCAGTCTTGTCCTGTAATCACTAGGGAAATGCCACTCTCGAATCATTTTATAACGTGGAGATCCTGAAACTGGATCTCCCCTGCTCTAGCCACATACTCTGAATATTACATAGTCAATATAAAAATCTGGAAACTGTTATGAAAGATAATACTGAGCTTTGGCTGCACTTTTTAAAATTTTCTTAGAGGCAGCTCCTGTCATCTAGTGAACAGGAGCAGTCATGGACACCCACACCTTCAGAGACAGGGATGCCTTCTCCATAGGATCATAGAAGCATTATGGTTGGAAAAGCCCTTTAAGAGCAAGTCCAACCCTGGAGCCCTTTACCTCCTCGGCTCCACAGACGTGTGCTGCTCCAGTCAGTACTTAAGTGCAAGAGCAAACGCAGAGTCTGGTTGGTTTTTCTGAGGTGCCTAACTCCCCTGAGACCAAAAGGGTGCTTAAAAAGCCCGAGTTTTAAATTCCCTCGGGGACGTCAGGATCAAAATATTTCAACGTTGCCATACACATTAGCTGTAGGCACTTAAAGCTGCTGCTGCTGGCCCCTCATCAGTGTGCTCTGGGTATGTTTGTGGATTACACACAGAGTATTTTGCAACTTGCCTCGTCTCTCTGCTATCTGCAAGTAGCCTGTAGAAAGGTACTGCTCCATGTCCTGCTGAAAGGCTTCTTCGAAAAACTTCTGACGCTCCTTCAGCTTCATCTGCTGCGTGTGCTCCATCTCCAAAACCTTCTGGGCATGTTCAGCATCTAGCTCAGCTGAGGAGTGTAAAACAGAAACAAACATAAATGCTGTGTATACATCCCCCTAAGTCTCAGAATTTTCATGTTACTAAGTTCAATACTGCCAGACTGTTACTACAGGCTGTTAAAACAGGTTGTTGCTAAAGGAGGCTTCTGCACTTTGCAAATATACTTCAGAGCTGACAGGGTATGAATATTGTACTAGATACCATTAATCACAACTATCTATCTGGAGGCAAGATGCAGATGTCCTCACCTGAGCAAACTAAACCACCTGAACGTACTGTCTACCAGTGACCAGGGCTTCCAAAGTCTGCTGGCAGAAAAATAAATCTCTGACATTATTGACTAATGTCGCTAATGACACGAGCGACTAAGTTACTACAATAGCGACTATGACATAACACACACAAAATGTATAGACTGGAATAGTGCAGCACATTTACAACACCATCTATCAATAATACGAAAGAAAACATGCATATGTATGCGTGGGGGTTAATATATATATATGTACATATGTATATACAAAACTCCACATATTTTTATGTATAATACATGTGTATAAATGTTATTTTGCCACTCTGCAGAGAGCCTGGACAATACTTCAAAGAAGCTTCTGGACACAGGGCAGCTACGTATCCAGACAAGCTGTGAGGGCAGCCTAGTCAGCACGTACTCCTGTTTTGCAGGGGCACAGCTCTGTTTTCAAAGGCAACACTGCAGAGCCATCAATACCAGTGGAGAGGCTCTTCTCTGCACACACCAGCAACAACTGTGCTGCTGCATGGGCGGCCACAAAGCAGCAGAGCAAAATGCTCTGCTAGCTGCTAAAGTACTGACCTGAGCCAGAACACGCTCAGAATATGCTTTAGGGAAGAAAGGCTTTTTAGCAGATAAATGGGAACCATTGCTCTCCGAGTTCTCCGCCTGTTTTTCCAAGCTGGTCTCAAGAGCTCTCTGCTCACAATAGGGCAGAACTCGCTAGCGGAGCGGCTAACGGGAAAGGGAGGAGGAGGAGGAGGAGGAGGATGGCTGGAAGAGCTGCCGGTCTGGGCCCTTGTGCCCCCCAGGGGAAGCTCCAGCCACTGCTGGCTGCAAAGCACCCAAGCTGCCGCACACGGCGCAGCCGCAGCGAGACCACGGCACCCACACGGACTGACGTGGAAAGGGCAGAAGCTTCTCCAGAACAAGCCACACATGAGTCTTGGGAGGAAAATGCTACATTAATGGCGAAGAATTCATTAAAAGCTTTTACCACTTACGGATATGATTACCCCAATGCAAAAATAAGCTTTATTAGAGCAGGCTAGGCCATTAGAGAACAGGAATTCACTCTGGAGCCTGCGTCAAGGGCACAGCCAGGGTCAGAGTTCACATGCAGAAGCAACCGCGCTGCGACCTGTGCTGAAAGGAGCTACCAGATCAGACTGACACAGCATCCAGCCATTACACCCTCAGTACATAGGCCGCAACCTGCATCAGGCTGCAGAAGTAAAACACCTGCTAGGGAAAGGAAAGCGTTCTCCTCTCCGGCAACCCGTCATTATTATCAATTACACGGCGGCACACAGCAATTCCGGACGCCCCGGGGCAGCTCCTCCAGCGCAATGCCCAATGATAAGCAGTTATTAGTAACACTGTGTATGAGGCACCAATGCCATTCAGCTGTAATAATACAAGCCAGCAGCTCTCACTGACTACAGTGATTTCCTGCCTTGCCCGTAATATTTTCTGACAGTTTTGCACTCTGTATGGGTAATTCAGGGTATTTTTAACCTAAAAATAGACCTAGTATTATCCAAGCAACATATGAAATTTATATGGCTTCTTTCTTAGAACTTCACCTCTGTGATTTTCTCTTTTACCTAAAATTGTCCTGTTAACTACTGAAATGGCCCCAGGCCACAGCTAAACAGCAACAGTCAGGGGCAGCGCTGCCACACTCTAATCATCCCCAAATACTCCCAGGGAAGAGCTGCAGGGTGCCTGTCCCCCAAGCTGCGTTGCAGGGATTGACCCCTGGGACGCTGTGGTGCCGGGTGGCGCTCCGGGAAGCCGCTCGGCTCCGCCGAAGCCGGGTGCTGCACCCCCCGTTGGGCTCTGCCGCGCGTCCGTGAAGCTCGCGGGGAAGGCGGGAGCAGAGCCGAGGGCAAGGGGCACCAAGGGGCACCGTTTCTCTGCAAAGCTATTCGGAATTCGGCGCTCTGAGCATGTGCTGACCACATACTGTGCTCCCGACCACAGGATTGATTTATTACAGCCAGGATTTCAGGAGAGATTACTTCTTCAATGACTTTATGAAATATTCGCATTTATAAATGAATTCTATTTAGAAAATAGTCATACCTCACTGTTTGAATTAGAATTCACGTAACCAGAATTCAGACTTCAAAGGTACAGCCGACAGGAGCTCACAGCCCCACGCCCCAGGTGCAAAGGGCACCGTGTCCTGCTGACATTCACCTTGTTCACCGACACTTCCTTGCTGCCCGAGTCACTAATGGTTCTGTCCAACAAACAAATCTTGAGTGACAATTTTATAGTTTAAGCCATCCAAGGTGCCTTTTTGGTGTCTTTATGCAGCTAGCTTACTTTCTTTCTACTAATTATATGTTACTTTATAGCTTTCATGTGCTAGAATCAATAAAGTTGGCGCGTTCAAGTTCATCTTAAAAAGAAGCTTCCTCCTCTCAAACCCCTAAAGCAGCACTCGAGACGGTGGGGAATACTTCTCACGGTGCTGTTCTCACACTCTGCTTGTATATAATTTCTCTTCAAAATTAATCTTTTGAGTAAACAGTGATGCAAAGGATATGTGAATAACATCCTGTCAGGGCACGTTCCTTTTTACAGACTCACCACTTAATGTGTCTAAGTCTAATATGCGGGAGGTGGTTGTAAGAGGCACTGAATGCAACCAGTTAATGACTGCACAACTCTATTACTTGGAGAGCTCTTGAAAGAAACCGAAGTTATATTAAAAAGACTGAATCAAGTCTTTGTCCTCCAGGCAGCCAAGCCGTCCCCGTGTCAACCTGGTCCCTCATTGCAGCCCAACCGGCCAAGGGCAACCACGTTGACCCATGTGGTTGTCCACCCATCTGGGCGGCAACATCCTAACTTGGAGACAAGCCTGGGGGGAACAAGCCTCCAAAACCTTACATTCCTAGCTGGAAACCGGCTCTTCACAGAACTTTTGAAAGCCTTCAAAAATCAGAATGATGGAAACAAAAAACCAAATCAACTAGATTTCATCAACTCCATGAATTAGTCATACACAGTCTTTCTGACCCAAAGAAGAGAGGAAACAAAGCCAGCGCTGCAGAATTTAATTGTTTTAAAACTCTGATATAACAGTCTTTTCTGGATACTAAAGTTTAGTCAAATAATTGCAAGCAGAAGATTTAAGTCCTGATTCCTCTGACAGTGAAAAAGATAGGCAAAATGGAAGAGAATCATGTCTTTTGGAAGAAAAAAAAAAAATATATATATATAATTGCAAATAAGATTTATTGTCTGACAACCCTTTCATGCGAGTTTCATTCTCGACAAAAAATGGCAATTACAGAATTACCTCATCTATTTTTCAAAGACTTGGCATTCCTTGGGAACTAGTGACTCGCATTTTTACAGACTGCACAGGAACATGAAAGCCCTGAGCAGCCCGGCATTAACCCAGGCAAGAAGGAAAACAGAGAGCAAAGCGCAAAGGAACTATTTCTTCATGTACCCGACAAGCAAGTTCAACGATTTGGCTTACCTTGAAATTTTCTTCTAAAGAAAAAAGAAGATTGCTTACTTGACATCCTTGCAAAAATATGGAATCAGCCTAAACAAACAGCAGAATAAACTTCTGAAAATAACTGACTTCGTATGTCAAGATTCCAGTTATTAAAACAGCACCTGGAGGAAAAAGCAGCTTCCGACTAACACCGCAGGAAAAACAACTAAGGAAAAGGTTTCCACAAAGCTCCAAACTTTAACTGACTACCAGGAAATCATCCTAATGAATAGATACTAAAAATATGCCTTTCCAAACAGCAAATGCATGAGTCAGGCTTTTTAAAATGTAAATAAGCTTAACAGTAGAAATAATACACAAAGCTCATAATTACAGGCTTCACACAGTGTAGAAAGAATAGCAGAGCTTGACAACGTTATGACCTTTCAGGTCAGCTAAGCCACAGGTTATTGCAGTACCATTTCTTGTGTTTTCACAGCGGTCTTTAGCTCTCTCCTACCTTTTAACACCTTTTAAAACACAAGGTGACCTTTCCAGAGCAGACCATGGGGTTGCTCCTGCCTAGGGGAACACACCTGAGGCACTGTGCCAGGTTCATGAAGGCTGGATTGCTTTCGCTTTTAAGCAGGAAACGTGACAAACCCTGTCATGAAATCCGGGAGTTCAGTCAAGTCTACAGTATCCACAATTAGCCTCTTGGATATAAAAGCACAAATCCTGCCTTGCCCAGCTGTATTTTTGTAATAAACGGAACAGAACATTCTACAAGGAAATAGCAGCCATATGGCATGTTATACTCTTCAGATCACTGTCACCTTTCTCTATCCTCTGCAAGCACAAAAATACACCAGGCTGAGGATGCTGCTGGTCTCAGGCAGCGGGATGGATTAAAACCAGAGCTCCTGCGCAAAATAGCTCTGGAAACAGTAAGAGTGCAGCAAGGAGGAAAAGAAAAAACAACAAAAGTGGCCTGAGAGTATTCACCTGCTTGAGGCACATGTCGAGGTTTTACTCTTGAAGTTTTAAGGGATTCTCTCTCCCAGGCACATACGTGACTTGGGGGGTTAATAAATTTACACTCCCACGTTCTCCAGAGTGCTGGTCCAAATCCACTTTTGGTCTCAGAGATGGTAAGTGATAGTACATAATATTTGTCTTTCCAGAAGCCAGGTTAGCAACACAATTTCCGTAGGATGTGAGCACCGCCAACCTTGCTCAAATTCCATCGGAATCAGATTCATTAGAAAGGTCTCCCACCTCCCCGTTCCTC